TAGGCGAAAAGCAGTAGGCGAGGCGAGTAGTATGTCCGGATTCGTAGTATTCCAAAAACAGTAGGCGAAAAGTACCCGGATGACCTACTGCTTCCGGTTGGATTTTGCAGTGTGCATACGATGGACACTTCACTATCCCATGATGCCCCAGGAGAGGAGTTATCCAACGAAGAAGACGACGCGTCATCATATTAGGAAATGGCGGAAAGCTGTTTTATATGTAATAAAAAATTGCATTATTATATTTCTGTTGGTTTTGTTCTTTATTTTAATAATGATAATCTCACAAGTAAATAAGTTAATTTCTTGGGCTAAAGTCAGTTGTTGTGGTCATGTCTTTTGTTTCTGAGGTAAAATTTACTTGCTAAATACTAATAGATACTTACATTATGCAGTAAATTATTCATAAGCTGCCTATGAAGCCTTGCTCTCCGAGCAGCTGCCCTTTGCCTCCTTTGTACTGTTACTTGCTGAAACAACTTTAAAACACCAATAGAAAACGCCATTGCTAACTTTACGGGCTCTTTAAATTTTCGCGCTGCTATGAAAACGTATGTCACGTGATGTATCAACATGGCGGATGTAGTACGTCCAAATCTCATTCATACTACCAGGCTTCATACTATACAGTACCTACTGTTTTAACGGTCAGTAAGTAGGTACTTCATCTCTTTCAGTACGTACTGTCACAGTATGCGGTTTCGGACGCAGCCTCAAACTAAGGTGAAACAAAAACAGGAAGTAATGTCAAAATAAAAGCCAGACAGGAAGCAGCGGAACCGAATCATGACAACATTTTTTTGTCTTTTGCCTCTGAGACAATAAGAAACAGCTTAAACTACTGACTTTCAGTTTTAATATGAGGATATCTGCATCTACATTCTGTAAATATTCTAAGGAATGTCTTACTGTGACACTGTTGGGCTGTGTAAAAAGGACTATGGTTGCAGAATCCACTTCAGGCCCTTATTTGTCAATTTTAAAATAAGCACTGTAAAAACATTCAAGACATTTTAAGTATTGAAAAACATTTTAATACTGAAAAGACTCCTCTGGAATCATTTATTCATACACTGTGGGTAACTGCCCTTCCTCAGTGTGCAAACTAGCACTAGTGTTACATCCAGGCACAGGTGAACTGTATAATAATAAGTGCAACAGTGTAGGCAATAAGGGGACTCATATCCCACATTACAGTTACACCAAGAAGGTACTTCAAACCAAAGACAGAGCACACAAGACACATAAATTACACTACAAAACACAGGGCAAAGGTCATTACTGGTGTTTCTTAGACCACAAAACCACAAGCTACAGCAGTCCATTCTGATTGTCAACGAAAGGGCACTGTACTGTAAAAATAAAGCAATCGGAATCACCCACCATACAAGAACCTGGCCCTCAGAGGTATTACAACAGGTTGGCAGACTTAATACACACAAGCAGCAAATGCAACAATTGAGCCCAACAAGCTCTTAAACATCCTAGAGACAGAACTTTACATTCTGAAAATCTTCAACTCACCAATTAGTTTTCCCTGCTCTTCTTTAAGAAAAATCTTTGATGGCATATTCCAGAGACACGATGGTTAAGTGTTGTTCATGCATTGCTGTCCTTTGGTTTGACACAGCAACAGTGCATTTACTCCCTTGCTCACCCAAGGTCATGATACCTCTTGTAGCTGCTATATCTGTTGATGCTGTTACAGCCACTGGGACTGCTAATGCTAATTGCTAATGCTAGCTGTCTGTCACTCCATAGTCTGATTCATCACTGTGTTCATAATCTGTTGTTTATTTGAATAACATTCTAGGTTTTTGAAGTTTTCATTAAGTATTGCTGACTTTTAGCTATCTTTTGCAATCTCTTTTTATGTTTCTGCCCCACTTTGGTGCTCATGAACTACCTTGTTCATCTTTATGGTGTCACAGACAAAATGATATAAAAAGCTTACTTGATTTTTAATAAATGGAAACTATTATATATTTTATAGTCATGTGATAATTACAAAAATAAAGGCATAGGAATGAACTTACCTCATACATACAACATGATACATTTAACTGAGTCCCTAGGCTGCAACCTATGTAGCCTGTGCTTCTAAGACACCATATTCCATATTCTATGCAGCAGTGACTCAGCATATTTTATACAGTCGATGGTTTGTAGCGGCACAAACACAGTCAAATTTAAGAAATCTTGTAAACTCTCAGTATCGCGCTAACTAAGGTCCCATTTCTGTATAATTTCTTCAAAATATCTATGTTATTTTATTTGGTGCTACTGATAAGGGAAATAGAGACTGTTCGGAGACAGTATAGTAAGAACCTATTTATTTCATTTAGATTTTAATAGTTTGTTCTAAAAAATATCTACTGAACTCTGACTGACTAGAAAAATAGACAGAGATCCATGTTTTTGAAAAGTTTGCATTTGAGGATTTTATACCTGGACAACTTTCATTAGCTTTAGTTTCACTGTTATAACTGCATCAGGTTTTTCATTATTTAAAAGGAAGTTGCGTTTACTGTGTCCCTGCTTCTTTTTGAGGTATGTTGTGCTACATCATCTTCCACAGCAACAGTTACCGTATCTCTCCCTCCCAAACACAGCCAAAACACAGATCAGACTTTATACTTTTCCATCTGGAAGAACATATTAAAAATGATTCATCTAAAACATTTAGCCTTCAAACCATCATAAACAGTAAAAGTGGAAATGAATTTTGTTGTCAAACTTATCTAAATCATGACAAATAAAGCCTTTTTCTGTTTTCAGGGAGCTCACTAAACCTTTCTGTACAATAGCTATTGGTAAGCTACATTACATGAGATTTAATTGAACTTTGTAGCAAACATCAGCAGTCTTATACATCCAGAGCAATTTTCTCTGAGCAATAATAATTGCTGGAACCAGTTTTGAAAATTAAAAAACACATTTACATTTGACATTTTTGCATGTTTAATTGACTTGCTATGCTGTGACTTAAAAGACTGTCACCATAACTGTTTATGTACATTCTAAACCTTTGCACCTTTAAGCAGCACCAAATTACAGAATACACAAACCTTCCTGACAAATTGTAAAGCATTTCTTTCATAGGAAATTGAAGGACTCTTATTAGAACTGTGGGACCTGTAAAGGATCTTTTTAGCCCTCAATCTCACCTTAACCCTCTCTATTCTGATTGAAAACCTCTACATGGGCTTGTATTATTCACGTTGTGGTCTGTTTACACAGTCACATTGTGGGGATGCCACTAAAAGCATGTCCCCATAATGTAAATCATTCAATTTTAGAGTGATGTCATGGTTTATGGTTAGGTTTAGTTTAAGGTTAAGGCAGGTGTAGGGACCCAGGTCCAGGAATTGAACATCACGTAATGTAATATCTTCTAAAGTGATGAAAATGTGTGCATCCTATGTCTCTCACTGAAGGGCTTTACTGTACACAAATCATTGCTTCACAGTGCTTCTACATTTCTGAGATTTATGATTAAAACAGAGGTGTACAGAGAGTTCATCGGTAACTAGAACATTAAAGACAAGACTGAGGAAAATGTTGCCATTCAGGAGCATGAATGGAGGGTCAGGCTGAGCTAGAGAGAGCCCTCTGCTGGTGAAGTAGTGTTACTGAAGGCTCTGGCAGAAAGGGCTTATAGGGTTCCTTCAGTAGCATGCTCAATGGTGGAGTTTTTGATAGCATTGCAGCATCCACACAGTGCAGGTGCTCCTGACTTCATCTTACTGTTTAGAAAATATACCTTTACTAAAAACAAAACTGGGCAAAACACCACTTCATTGACACAGAAGACAAATTACATACTCTAAATACGGTAGGTGAATTACAGCAAGACATGTTGTTTTGTACAGGAGATGGTCGACTGGTTCAATGCAATCAGAGCAGCCAGGTTCCACTACCTACAGGTGGCTTTCCCTGGAGCAGGTGATGAGGAGGTGAGGTTTAAATTATGGACTACTGCTCCTGAGTTACTGATGTCTGATCACTGTGTAGTTAAAACCAAACACAAAATATACAATTTTCAGTACTTGTATATACCTCTGTTAAAATTTAAAATTGTTGAGTTGTTGTATGACTGTTGATTACGTGTCCATGCTGCAACAAGCATATTTAAACTTGCACACATTAAATATTACATGTGACTCTCTTTTGTCTGTTTCTTTCCAGCTGGTGCCCAAGCTGACCCGAAACTTTATGAAGGAAGGCTTTATGGAGAAAACAGGCCCCAAGGTTTGTGCTCACTGAATCTTATACCTCTTTAAAATAAAATAAGGAGCGCTGATATTAATTTTACATCAGTTTCACGGTGACACTGACCCAAATCAAACTGTCTGTAGAACAAGACCCCTTAAAATGAAATGAAATGTATGTACATCAAAGTTCAAAGTGTTTATTTTGTCATATGCACAGTTAGGAAACGTGTCCACATTTGCCGTCCACATGAATGCCACAAAATACAAATGAAATATAAAGTAGATAAATAAGTAACACAAAATCTAAGGCACTTTAAGCAGCAACAGATGCAGCAATATAATAAAAAATATATAAGACTATAACAGAATGTATGCTGCATGGGAGCAGCATGTGCAGCAGAGTCAGTGTGCAATTATGCATGTAACACAAATAAATAACAAAATCTAGGACACTTTAAGCAGCAACAAATGCAGCAATATAATAAAAGAATATAATAGAGAATGTATGCTGCATGGGAGCAGCATGTGCAAACTGAGAATGTAAACGGTACATCACGTATTTCCTGGTAATAAACTCCTCAGCTGTTTAGTCTGATAGCAGAGGGAAAGAAAGTTTTTCAGTCTAGTGGTCCTGCATTTCACACTTCTGAACCTCCAGCCGGAGGTTAGGGCTGTGAATAGTTCGTGCTAGGGGTGGGTGGGGTCTTTGAGGATGGAGGCAGCTTCCTACACACCCTGCGGTGGTAAATGCTCTGCAGAGAGGGCAGTGGAGTCCTGGTGATCTTCTCCACAGTTTTTACCACTCTCTGCAGGCGCTTGCGGTCCATAGCAGTAGTGCTGCCATACCAGACAGTGATGCAGCTGGTCCA